ATCGCTTTCCAAAACCGGCATAAATCTTTACTCAATCACTGGATCAGGTTTCCATGAAAAGCTACAAGCTACGTCTTAAAACGAACACGGTTATATCGAACTGACGGATATTTTCCTGACCCAGTCACGTGCTGTTCATATTACTTGAAATAATGTTATGCATAATAGCTACGGTTTTAACGAACTAAAATGACTGGTCATTGAAGTTCGTTATGACCGTAGCCTACTGTATTCTCAAAATCAAACAAGGAAACTCCTAATCGAACAGGCCCTTCGAGAGACAAGCCGCTAATCCTACAACAATGTCAACCAGCAGTTTCCTATTAGCGTCTTTGACATGCCGAACTTGATGTGTGTATCTTGTTAATATGGGAATGCTGTGAGAATGTTCATAACAGAGACTTTCTGAATGACTCAGAGAGGATCACGAATACACCTCCCGGGACAGCTGTGGGATATTGGGTCTTCAGGAAGTGGTCTTTGACGGGACGTCTATTGATCAGCTGTCAAATAAGCATTAGAGAACAGGTGAGACTTGTAATAAACGGTTTACACGTCAACATGCGAAACTGAGGACCGACGACCTTCTGTATGAATTACTGCTGATCCAAACGTACTTAGATCAAATGCGAATTCATGTAAAAGAAATTTGGAAAAATATTATCACAGGTAAACGTAAATGTCATGATCATTTTTTTTGCGTTTTTAAGGCCATCTATATATTTTTGTGTTTTTATCATCTTTATTCCCGATTATCATTGGAGCGAGCGCAAAATTATCTATGAAAATGTTTTTTAGCTAATTGTGGACTTTGTTGACGACAATTTAAAATGTCGATCACTTGGTAATAGTTTTTATGATGGAGATCGAATCACTTTGCTTTAGTAAATTATTGAGTGAGTTTAGTTTTACACCGCCCTCAGCAATATTTCAGCTATGGCGGCAGTCTGTAAATAATCGAGTCTGGGCCAGACAATCCAGTGATCAATATCATGGGTATCATTCTACGCAATTGGGATACGATGACATGTGTTAACAAAGTCAGAGAGCCTGACCCCCCGATCCCTTTAGTCGCCTGTTACGACAAGCATGGGTTACTGAACACCAATTCTTACCCGGATCTTCATGGGTATCGCTTGGCTTCAGGAACATTCATATGTGCTAATTATTATATCTATAGTGGCAGTCATGAGCAATCATGGATTCTAGGTTAGCTAGAATAACCCAGGTCAGGAAGGAATATTCCGGAAGCAAGCCTTAGCCTCTGTCATATCACAAAACATCAAGACTGGCTGTCAAGATCCAGCCTAGACCTATTTCCGCAGACCACCGTGTTTCCGAGTGAATATTATTAGCACTGACTGCTATTCTATTATCTTTTTTTAAAGATTCTGTACTGCCAGTGTAAGGTTGTAATTTGTGTTGATAGATAAACCATTGTATAACATTGTATAAATTGTATAACATTTCTTTGTTTTAGTTTTCAATCAATTCTTCTGTGTTGATAAATATTGTTAAAGTTGTTGTTTCAACATGTGCTAAAGACATATAGACTATTGAAACCGCATCAACTGTTTCATATCGTTATCTTTCACTTTATTAAGAGCAACATTCAAGCCATTTATGTCTCATTTTCAAAAACATTTGTTAGTACAACCACGCAAGTTCTTTATGGGAAAATTCCCAAAGAGTGTTACAAGACTTATTTAACAGTTGTTTCATTAAGGGGGCGGTGGGGTAGCCTAGTGGTTAAAGCGTTCGCTCGTTACGCAAAAGATGCTCATGCTGTTGACCACTGGATTGTCTGGTCCAGACTTCTTTATTTACAGACGGCCGCCATACAGCTGGAATATCGATTACCAAGATTATCAGAGTGAGGTAGATATATTCTAACGCCGATTGAGCTAATTTTTACATGGGCCTGTTCGAGTATTGAGAAACTGGTTCTGGTTTCTGAAACCGGTTTCTCCTGTCATAAACGAGTGTCTAGTTTCGGACACATCGTTTCAAAGTGAAACTAAATTCTATTTTTATAAACGAGTGGATGGTTTGGTTGTAGGAAAAATTGTCATAGGAAAAAAAGGCATGGAAAAAAGGCATGGGAAAAAGTCATAGATTTGGGTAGGAAAAAAGGTCATAAACTCAAAAAAGGTCAGTATTGATAATGGATTTTATTAGCAATTCATAACAATATTATCATCAACAGCACTACCACATTTGAACCTAACTTATAAAAAATTAATGTAATCATTCAAGAAACAGATTCCTTAGTTTCTTTTGGAGCTGAACTAATTTAGAAAAATTATAATATGTTCATTTCTCCTGTTTTGATAAGATCCAATTGCTTACAGCATCAAACTAAAGGAATAATTAACTTGAAAGTGAAATAGTATAAACAAAGTAAATGGAGAACAGGACGTTTTTATAACAGTTGCTGTTGAATTAGCTTTTTACGAATAACTGGAGAACAGGATGTGTTTATTATTGACGATGAAAGTGAAATATATAAAATACAGCATAAACAAAGTAAATAACTTGAGAACAGGATGTTTTATAATAGTTATTTTTCCTATGACTTCATTTCCAAGACTTTTTTGCTATGACCTTTTTCCCTGAATATTTTCCCCTGATTGTTTTTCCTAAGACTTTTTTCCGTCCACCGTTGGTTTCACCATCCGGTTTCAAAATGGTTAACCCCAAAATGACCCAGCTACTATATATGTGGAACGAATTGGATGGCAGCATATTCTACTGTTATTTTATCAGTGAATTAACAAATAATAAAGAGATAAGATGCTCTTTGAGGTAAATATTTGCGTATATGTAATTATACTGTTACAAGTAATTATATGTATACAATTTACATAAAATAGTCATGTTCAGTAGATTGGGGTTTTGGATAATATTTTCCTAGTTCTCAGTTCATTTTTATCATTATTTTGGTTACAGAAACTGCTGCTCTATTTTGCCACCAAGATCAGCTGAACTTGAGGCTTGCAAATGCAGCTCAGCCTGGTGGTTTCCGCCATGTTTGTTATGAGGGAACGCGAAACCGAAACTACGAAACCTGCCTCGGAGATGGTTTCGAAGTTTCAGAACCCAGTTTTTGATTTCGACATAATCGAGTGCCTGGTTTTCCAGAAACCAAAACCGGCTTAGCATAATCGATTAGGCCCTAAGTTGAAGGTTATGGTAGAATTGGATACAGCGAATTGAAGATGGCGTTGGTTTAAGTACTCGTCAGTTTTCGTACTGACGGTCGTCTACTATGACCCTTCGTTCACACCAAGCACAATATACCGTAATATATGTGTTCAATATAAATCAGGTCATTTTTCTGAGAACAGAACAAGGAAGTGAGTGAATTTGGTTTTACGCCGCAAAGTTCCAGCAATGTAACACTAGCAATGTGTTGCGCGCATTTTACACATGAGGGGACTCGAACCCGTGACCAGCGAACGCGTTGACCACAAGGTTACCTAACCGCCCGAGAGTAGGACAAGAGTGAGTGAGTGAGTTTAGTTTTACGCCGCTTTTTGTATCTTTCCAGCAATATCACGGCGGGGGACACCAGAAATTGGCTTCACACATTGTACCCACGTGTGAAATCAAACCCGGGTCTTCGGCGGGACGAGCGAACGCTTTAACCACTAGGCTACACCACCGCCACGAGTAGGACTAGACCATCGCAGTATGTGTCTTATATGTTCCATTGAAAGTGTCCCGGTATCCGCAGAAATATATATACGCTTAAGCTTACAGAAGTTTATCGTAGCAATATTAAGTTCATTTAATTTATTCTAGTGGTGCGAATGCAAAGAAGATATTTAATATGTGTATATGTATGATTTCCCGTAAATAATGGTCCAGAATTACGTGCCACCGATGTAGATAGTTGTGTATTGCCGACTGCGAAAGTTTATTCCTGAATGCACAAATAGATTACTCATAAGACGGGAACGAGAGCCATTACACTGTCAGGAGTTAATTCCCTTTGCAGCGTAGGCGAACCCTGCTGGTGTTAACCAGGTACGAGCTGTCGAGTGTCCTACATCTTCCTGGGGAGGTCTGAGGTGAAGGTGGCCAATATGTCTCGGTCATGGTGACATTTGGTGAACCAGTCAGGCAATAATACTTGAGAGTTATGAGTCAAAGGGTTAAAAGCGCCTTTTCCTGGCAGGCATCGGAAATCCTGCACTGTTTGGAACTGTGTACATGTGTGACTCTGTGTATCTGTTTTATAATTTACTTCACCTGAGCAGAGGAACATTTGATTATGATGGTGATGATGATGATGGTGGTGGTGGTGGTGATGATGATGACGATGGCGGCGGTGGTGGTCATGGTCATGGTGACGATGACGACGACGACTATGACGATGATGATGGTCATGATGACGATGACGATAGTGGTGATGATGATTATGGTGGTGGTGTTGATGATGACGTCGACTATGACGATAATAGTGATTAAGATGGTGTTGATGATGATCACGATAACGATGGTGGTGGTGATGACGACGACGACGACGATGATGGCGGTGATGGTGGTGATGATGATGACGATGCCGATGGTGGTGGTGATGATGATGATTGTGATGATGATGGTGGTGGTGATGATGATGGTGATGATGATGATGATGGTGGTAGTAGTGGTGGTGACGATCATGATGATGATGATGATGGTGACGATCATGATGGTGGTGTGATAATGATGATGGTGATGATGATGATGTAAAGAGTGTTAAATTAGCTTCATCAGCTATAAACGTTTGCGATACAATCTTGAGCTGCCTCACAACAGGCCTTACGGTGACTTGATACGAGACGTGCGTCCTCGAATTGTGTCAGTATGAATGACCCGTGCCCAGTCATGTGACTATTGAAATTCTGTGACCTCATCACCTCACTCACCCTGGCGACACACGTATGAAGTGCATGGACGTCCTCAGCATGTGACCTGGTTGTGTTTGATAAGATACTAGTTGTTTCATTGTTGTTGAACGCCGCAATCAGCAATGTTCCAGATATATGACGGCAGCATGTAAATAACCTAGTCTGGACCAGACAATCCACTGACTATCATCATGAACATCGATCTACCAGTTGGCACACGATCACATGTGTCAACCAAGACCACCTCATCCCGTTATTCGCCTCTTACGACATGCATGGGTTGCTGAAGCCCAATTTCTAACCCGAGATTTGCAGGCCTGATAAGTGTCTTTTAATGATTTGTAATATTCTTGATATTCATGTTTTGATATTCAAGGAAATTTCAACATACAACAATCAGATTCAATGCATTATAAATGTGTTGAAAAACATATTTATCCCTTTGAAAGTGACCAGTTGGGATCGAAACGTCATTCATCGTTTACTGTTCACAAGTTTGATCAAATCAGAATTTCATTATTATTTAAGCTAAGTGACAGTGATCTTCAAATACTGGAGTCTGAGCCAGATCGTCCAGTGATCGACATCATGAGCATCGATCTACGCAATTGGAATAAGGTGACATGCATCATTAGTGACCTCGTAAAGACAGGTCTCTGCAGATCAGTTCTAGCACGGATCTTCATGGTGGTGATCACGTGTGTACAGTCATATAAAGGTCAGCAAAAGCATTAAAAAATTAACATGCAAGAACAGATTTATTTTTTACATTCTGAAGACAGGTAATTAGTAAATGTGTCTGACGATTTTTATGGCATGAAGACGTACATATATTGTTTTATATAGATATCAAAGAGCGTATTCGTTCCCAGTGATGTGTTCTGGATTTAAAGATATCTGGAGTACAGAAACATGGGTATGTAATTGAATAACATGCATCCACGGTGTCCGGAAGGTGAGGTTTCCAGATTAACAGGGTCTCAATGTTTCCAGTTGCAAAGTGCAGTTAAGGGCCATGTTATTAGCATTCACGTTCAGGCCCGGATGCTGGTGGCGACATCTATAGGCAGAATATTGTGCTATGCTGTAAATATTGCTAAATGCACAGTAAACAAAATATGGTCATATTGTGCAACATCATGCTAAGTTGAGTTATCTCCCTTTGACCCGCAGTTGATAACGATATAAACACGAGTGTCAAACCGCTAGTGTCGTCATAACTCGCCCTACAACGAAGATGGCTGAAGTACCTGAGCAGAGCAAACTATCCTACAATTTCTTGGGCAAGTCTGGACTGAAGGTGGCCAACATATGTCTCGGCACGATGACGTTTGGGGATTCAGGGGTAAGTGTGAAATGTTGACATGAATGGCTGTAAGAAAGACCTCATTTTTGAGGGTCTACAGACATATCTACGTTCTGTCATGTGATGTATAGCGTCTATTTATATCACCAGGTAGTTCGCCGCTGTCCCAAATCGACAAGATAACCCCTTTCAATGTCACTAGTTCATCCTCTATCCAGATCATTCATTCATTACTTCAACCAATTCCCGGTATGATATTTTGGGGCATGTTTGAAGGAAGTCAAAAAGTGAGACCAGATGTTTTGACACTTGTCTTTCGGGTGCATGAACGTGCTGAACGTATGGACGATGAGTGGTGCCATTGACGTTGCATTAATTTACATTTTTCTCATCGTTCCAAATAATTTATTTCCTACTTCGATCATTTTGTCTAAAGTCTTTAAAAAAATGAAAATAACGATATTTTGTCTTTCACCGATTATTTTCACGTTATTTAAAAAAGATCCGAATTTCTTTAGTTCCTAACCCGTGAAAGTCCGGGTTAGAATGAACTTTCAGTAACCCATGCTTGTCGTAAGAGGCGACTAACGGGATCGGGTGGTAAGGCTCGCTGACTTGGTTGACATGTCATCGGTTCCCAATTGCGCAGATCGATGCTCATGCTGTTGATCACTAGGTTGTTTGGTCCAGACTCGATTATTTACAAGACCACCGCCATAAAGCTAGAATATTGCAGAGTGCGGCGTAAAACTAAACCCACTCACTCAGTTTTCGTTCCTAAGAATATTTCATCGTCACTTCGATTATATTCTCGTTATTTCAGTTAGTTTGAGTTGTTACTTCGACTATTTTCTTGAAATTTCGAATTTTAAAAATGAACGTGAACAAACAAGAACATAATTTGTATTATGAAAAATTAATCAAAGTAACGATAAAAAATTGTTTCGACACAAAATAAACAAATAAGTGACACAACAACTCTCGATTTTAAAAAATAAATCAATGTTCATAAGGATTTCGTATGATCGTATTCGCTTTTTAGTCTTAATACGAATCCAAGAAATGACCGTGTTTGGTTGGAAATATCATCCTCCAACTGCTTTATAAATATAGTGGTCTGTCGTCCTGTTACAGGCCAAGCGACCCGGTCAGGCCACAGAGGAGTACTCCCACCAGGTGCTTGACCGCTACGTCCAGTGGGGAGGCAACTTCCTTGACACCGCTGACGTCTATTCGCAAGGACTATCCGAGAAGTTCCTTGGATCCTGGCTAGCAAAGTATGTCATAATGGATTAGCAGTGTGAAGCACAGGGGTAAACTAATGGTAAAGAGTGCAGCAATGTACGTTGTTAGACGTGAATCTTAGAACTACCAGGATCAGCTGGGTTTGATGAAGGATATCATTGAACAGAATACCGCTCACGCTGGAAAGAGTGAGCGAGTGGGCTTAACGCTTGGAATAATGTTCCAGTTATATCAGCTAGAGTCATATCGATGTAGGAGACATATCGATGTGATCGCGCTGGCCCATGGGACGATCACAATGGAGGCAAACCAGTAGTTGTAAATGTAATACAAAGTCAATACAAACGAATACTCAGTTTTGACCATCCACAGAAATAGATTCAATTTTGAGTAACGGGCAAAATAGCAGTGAAACTCATAGGAATGGGCCACAGGTGTGCGTGAACACCGGAAGTACCCGCAATTTCCATAAATTGCCAAAAATGTAAGTATTTGTAGGCCGATACTACACAGCAGTACTCCTGTCATGAGACCAAGGCCTGTAAACAAACCACACAATCCAGGGATCGATGAACGAGAAAGTACAGACTAATGTGCAGAAGTTCTGAGATTCCATTGCTTACATTTGACAGAAAAACGTTTTGGAAATAGATTGTTTATGTCTAAGATTGCTCTTTCTTTGTTATTTTGGTCGAGCCTATCATCTCAAAGTCTCATCTATTTCAGCTTTGTTGTATTGCAGACAGTCACGTGAGCAGTTCGTTGTAGCCACAAAGGTCAGGGGTAACTCGGCGGTTGGTGTTGGACTCAGTCGACGCCATATTGTCAACAGCATCGAAAGAAGTCTTGAGAGGCTTCAGACTGACTATGTGGATCTGTACCAGGTGAGTACTGGCTGTAGTGTGTGGATCTGGTCCGGATTAGTACCAGAGTGGAGTGGAACCAGGTTTACCCCATAAGTTTTCCTTCAATCCATACCCGCAATAGTGAGGCAATAACACCATTCCTAAGTGGGCTGTAGTCGTGTCACATGTTACAGATGCACCTCTGGGATGATGGAACTCCTATTGAAGAAACACTCCGCGCATTTGATGACCTGGTTCGATGTGGGAAGGTGCGCTACGTCGGTGCCAGCAACGTGGTGGGTTGGCAGCTACAGAAGATAGCCTGTACATCGGAGAAGCTTGGCTTGAACCCCTTTGTCAGCTTACAGGTAGGATATTGTTACATGAACCGACTTTTTGGTTCACAGTTAGGACATGTACCTGTAACCCCGTCATTATAACGACATTATAACATCGATTTCTTCAGCCTACAGGTTGGAAAACATGAACCTATTCTTATATACATTAACCTGAATATTGCTTTTCACTCTTGTTTTCAGCAACAGTACAGCCTGGCGTGTCGGGAGACGGAGTTCGAACCTCTCCAGGTGTGCAAGACCGAGGGATTAGGGGTGCTGCCTTGGAGCCCTCTCAAGGGGTGAGTTGTAATTGGTGCACAAATGGTAAGGTAGCGGATTTATCGAACATTACACAAAAGTCATTTTACCTATGGTGTCTCGGTGATCCCTCAACAGTTAGTAGAGGTGTCTTGCAGATCCTTCGGCGGTGTAGTAATGTCTCAACGGTTTAGGGCGGTGGGTTAGCCTAGGGGTTCACTTGTCAAGCCAGGTTCGTTCTTGTACATGGGTACAATATCTGAAGCCAATTTCCGGTGTCTCCTGCTATGATATTGCATGAATACTGATAAAAGTGGCGCAGAACCTTACTCAATGAGTCGGTTTGGTAATTCACTCACTCACTCTTAAAGGTTTGGTAATAGTGTCTTGGACTTTTGGCTACAGCTGAATAAGTGTCTTGGGTATCTCTGTAATGGTGACCCAGAGATACATCAGCAGGTTAGTGCCCTACAGATGTCTCATTAGTCTATAAGGGGCGTCCAGAAGGTCCTTGAACAATATAGTGCCCCGGAGATTCCTGAGCGGGTTAGTAATAGTGTCCTTGAGATCTTGGATATCTCTTTATGGTTCATTAGTATAAATTATCATGAATGGTTTATGTTTTCTCGATGATTGGCCCATATACTATGAAGTGATGCTGTATCAATGTCTTCAGAAAACGTATCATCAAACATCCTCGCGATGTCAGAGAGCTTACAAGCTTCACTGTTAAGATGTCTGATTCCTGTAAGAAGGTCGGTTAGTACTGATCAGAATGTCTTGTTGGTAATCCATTGTAACTTATGACTTAAACAGAGGCCTGCTGTCTGGGAAGTACACACGAGACTCTCCCCCGACAAGTGGGCGCCTGGGCTGGGTGAGAGAAGATGAGAAACGAGCTAGCCAGGCCTGTCCAGGCTGGAGCGCCCTGGAGGGGAATGATCAGATCTGGAACATCATTGATGCACTACAGGACATCGCGAAGACACATGGTAGGTGCAGCTCTAAGAGTGAATGCTGCTTGCACACAAGACAACTACAACTACAGGCAATGTGGGAGTCGTGGTAGACTCTATGAGGAGCCCGGTAGATGTTGCGACAAACTTAACAGATATTGTAACAATTCTGGTAAACACTGAGGATAATACCTTGTGTATGGCAGCCTGAAATGTTTGGCAAGCAAGAAGGCAAGTATGAAATTGTATGACGTTTCTCCCACAGGTAAATCCATGGCCCAGGTGTCACTGCGCTGGCTGCTACAGAAAGATGTTGTTCCATCTGTCATCATCGGAGCCACATCTCTGGAACAGCTGGATGACAACCTGGGAGCTGCTAGTGGCTGGACGCTGTCATCGGAGGAGGTGAGTTTGTGATAGATGACCATCATTCAGTCAATATCTGTGGAGGCTGTGGGACAACTTAGGTGCTGCATAATACTGGACAATATCTTCAGAGGGTAAGTCTGGTAAGTCTGGTACAGCTGTTGGACAACTTAGGTGCTACAAAGAGACTGGACGTTATCTTCAGAGGAGGTAAGTCTGGTCAGCTGTTGGACAACTTAGGTGCTGCTTGAGACTGACGTTATCTTCAGTACAGTACAGACTGAGGAGGTGTCTGACAACTGTTGGACAACTTAGGTGCTGCTTGAGACTGGACGATATCTTCAGGAGGAAGTAGTCTGGTACAGCTGTTGGACAACTTAGGTGCTGCTAGACTGACTGGACGGTTATCTTCAGGGAGGTAAGTCTGGTACAGCTGTTGGACAACTTAGGTGCTGCTTGAGACTGGACGTTATCTTCAGAGGAGGTAAGTCTGGTACAGCTGTTGGACAACTTAGGTGCTGCTAGAGACTGGACGACAACTTAGGTGCTGCTTGAGACTATCTTCAGAGGAGGTAAGTCTGGTACAGCTGTTGGACAACTTAGGTGCTGCTTGAGACTGGACGTTATCTTCAGAGGAGGTAAGTCTGGTACAGCTGTTGGACAACTTAGGTGCTGCTAGAGACTGAGACTGAGGACGTACAGCTGTATCTTCAGAGGAGGTAAGTCTGGTACAGCTGTTGGACAACTTAGGTGCTGCTAGAGACTGGACGATATCTTCAGAGGAGGTAAGTCTGGTACAGCTGTTGGACAACTTAGGTGCTGCTAGAGACTGGACGATATCTTCAGAGGAGGTAAGTCTGGTACAGCTGTTGGACAACTTAGGTGCTGCTTGAGACTGGACGAGGAGGTAAGTATCTTCAGAGGAAGTAAGTCTGGTACAGCTGTTGGACAACTTAGGTGCTGCTAGAGACTGGACGTTATCTTCAGAGGAGGTAAGTCTGGTACAGCTGTTGGACAACTTAGGTGCTGCTAGAGACTGGACGATATCTTCAGAGGAGGTAAGTCTGGTACAGCTGTTGGACAACTTAGGTGCTGCTAGAGACTGGACGATATCTTCAGAGGAGGTAAGTCTGGTACAGCTGTTGGACAACTTAGGTGCTGCTAGAGACTGGACGTTATCTTCAGAGGAGGTAAGTCTGGTACAGCTGTTGGACAACTTAGGTGCTGCTTGGACAATCTTCAGAGTGAGGTAAGTCTGGTACAGCTGTTGGACAACTTAGGTGCTGCTTGAGACTGGACGTTATCTTCAGAGGAGGTAAGTCTGGTACAGCTGTTGGACAACTTAGGTGCTGCTAAAGACGGGACATCATTTTCAGAGGAGGAAAGTGATAGATAAATGGACAGTTTGTGGGCAGCTCGTGGCCTGACGATACTTTTAGAGTAGGTGAGTCTGTGATTGTGGATGGGCGCTGTCTACAGAGTAGGTGAGTCTTAGAGAGACAACCTCTGACAACCAGGTATTGTGTATCACCAGGTGCTACGTTCACAATAGGTGAGATGGTGACAGAAAGATGGAAACATTGAAGCAACTTACATTTATAAGTTATATTATCCCCTGACCTAAAAGACCGTCTCCGTGGTGTAGTGGTTAGAGCGGAAGGTCGCGGGTTCGATCCCCGACCGCGTCATACCAAAGGACGTTAAAATATGATACTTTTTGGTCCCTGCCAGGCGCTCGGCATTAATGGGTACAACAAGGACTGGTCGGCTTGGAGTCAGTATAATGTGTCTGAGTGGGGTATTCATGCTTCACTGCAGCATGGTATCTCAGTGAGCTTGCACTATAAAACCAGCTTAAGTCTGGGCTAGTACAAGCAGCCGCACATACACATACACAACCATGCACGTCGTCATATGAGCGAAATATTCTCAAGCGCGAAGTTAAACCCAATTTCATCATACCTCACCTGACTTAAAGGGGAGGTAACCTGTGGCGTTAACAAAGTGCCGCCAGTACATGATGTATCAATCAAACACCACGTGTTCATATTTCTGTTGTACAAATTAAAAAGTTCTCATGCTTTTCAGATGACACGACTGGACGAAGTGTCTCAACCCAGAATACCGTATCCATATGAAATGCTTTGGAGACTCAACAAATCTCGGCGCAACCCCTTCCAGTCATCGTACTTCGTCTCCAACTCAGACTGATCACAAGAAGCTGCCAAGCACAGAGCAACCAGCTGGTCTTTTACACTGGACATCTTCTGCATAATTACATTGAAATAGTGATAAAATTTTCACTGAGTGATTGCACGAGGACTTTATTGTTTGTATTATTATTTAACTTACATATTCCAGTTATTTCACATTCTGCCGACGTATATTTTGACTATGTTGCCAAGAGGCCTTGAAACTCAAGAATATACTGTCTCCCTGTCTTATTAGCTTTCCAAGAACCAATAGGACAGCTGTACCAGTACCTTGGCGTCTTTGAGTATGATGTTAAGATTGACCTCTGTTCCGGTCTCATTCCCTCCTCATCTCTATTCGCCTATATTCACCGCCTTTCGTCATTAAGAATTTCTGTTGTGCCGTAATACTTGATCGTTGCATAACAGAAACACTTTATATAACCTTATGCATACGAGAGCTGTATGAAATACACGTTTTGAACAATTCTGAGCTTACCTACTTGTTGTATCTACGTACAGTAGGCAATATGTGTGTGCCCTTAATCCAGTACTTTCCATACTGATCCGTGAAGATCGCGGTTAGAATTGATCTGCAGTAACCAATGCTGGTCGTAGGATGCGACTAACGGGATCGGGAGGTCAGGCTCGCTGACTTGGTTAACACTTGTCATCGTATCCCAATTACGTAGATCGATGCTTATGCCGTTGATCACTAGATTGCCTGGTCCAGATTATTATACAGACCGCTAACATATAGCTGAAATACTGCTGAGTGCGGCGTTAAACAACAGCCAAACCAAACCTCACTGGATACATAGTTGCATGATTTGGAATCCAAGCATCAAACCGAAACATGAGTCTCATTACCTATTCAGACAATGACCTACTTTTCAGCCGATCCGAATTTTCCCGTGTGAAAGTGAAAAGGGACAGCACAAACAACTATTATATATATGGTTACACTGAATTCCAGTTCCTTGTTTCATAAGAAAATGGTATTTATAAGTTAATGTTAATTTTAAACTTTAATAACATCGTATTTCTATATATTTAGGCGAGGTTTAGGCAGCATGACCTTAACTAAGACGTCACAGACTACCACTGTTTGATGAGGTCGTAAAATGGATCACAGATCATCTGGCTCACTGATTACGTCTGTTATGTGTTTTTTGTGCTTATTTGGTGTATTTTTGTAACGTACAATGTGATCGATATAATATCAAGTCCGTACCAGACCGCCAAACTTTTCTGGCGCCCGAGCCTCGTTTTGAGATTTCCACGATTTCCTTTTGACAGAGCATGCTGCACGACGTTTTTGCAAGGATTAGAAGGAGCGTAGTATTGCAATATACACGTGATTAGATGTATCAAATAATACTGATTAGTATACGCAAAATACTCCTCTAAAATGGCTTATGCGTTTCTTTTTCTGAAGAGTCTAACTAGTGGTTCTCAGAGGCTGCCAAACGTGGATTAAGTGGCACAATGGCCCAAGAGTATAGTTCTACCTGGAAGTTGTGGCCATCATAAAAACGGTTAAAGTGATATAGCTTCATCCCAGACATACAACTCAGTTTGTCCTAATCATGTTGTTGGTTACAGGATTTATTGAAATGCAATTGCAGCGGTAACACTGTCGTGAAGCAATGTTAAAGTATCAGATTTACGGCAGGCGAAGCGTCAAAATTGTTTTGTGTAACAGGTTCTAGGAATATGAAATTAAGGCAAGACGTGAGTTTGGCGCGATAGGATCAAATGTCGAGCGGAGTAGTACATCTGAACGGTAGTCCATGTTAATATTGCTTTGTCTGCCTAATGAAGTGCAAAGACTTGTGAAGTGCACACGAGCCACCTCATGAGACAGAAACGCGGCCTTTACCACTTTGTCACTCTATGTTACAATATGAAGTAAACATTTCTTTCAGATTTCTTAATTTATGAAGGATAGCGAATACAAAATCTACTGGGTTTTTTGTCCACGAAACAGTTACCCACTAATCGTGTAATAAGATGGGAACTTGACAGGAATTCCGTGTATATATTCTCTGCAAATAAGGAACGCAAAAGTGGTTTTAGATATATATTTTTAGATTATACAAACAATCAGGAGATCATAATAAATCGTTCACATTTGGCACAAATCATTGTCTCTGACCGAGGTTCATTATGAGTGAGTGAGTGAGTTTTTAGCAACATTCAAACAATATCACGACGGGGACACCAGAAATGGGCTTCACGCATTGTACCCATATGGGGAATCGAACCCGGGTCTTCGGCGTGACGACCGAACGCTTTAACAACAACTAGGCTACCCCACCGCCATAGGTTCATTATGGAAATAGAAGCGACAAAACTCTGTCCACATCCATAAGAAGTCTCTGCTAAAAGCTGTGTCGATTGTACAATTGTAACTATATCATAAGTATATATTTTTGGTTTCACCAGTATAGCAGCTGTACGGTGTTGTTTGTAAACAAATCGAGTCTGGATCAGACAAGACCAGACCAGAAACCCATGGACAATCGAATGTCAAGATGAAGGTCATCTGTTTTGAATATCTTATATGTCCAGACCTCCCTGGCATCGTCGCCCTTTGGAACCAATGATTACGAAGTGTGGCCTAAGGAATGTTCACCCACTCGTCCTGCGGTGCTTGTCTCTACTGTTGGAGGTTCCGTGACTGTTGCTGACGTGATGGCACACGTGGATCAAGATCATCCCATAGATGTTGGATGGGGTTTAGATCTGGATACTTTGAAGGCAATGGCAGTACTTACATTTAAATGTTTGGCAGCATGTTCGTCGTTTACTTTCATTTGGGCTTTTAACTATTTTTACAGCTGTCTGAAATCATTTCAAATTGCCCAGTAACTAGACTTAAGCTGATAAATTATCCATATACATTTAATATAAATATAAATGTGAATCTCTGTACAGGTGGTATTTTAAGATCCTGTTCTGTGGCACAATGTCCCATGTAAAGACCAGCTGGTCGCTCTATACATGCTTGGCAGCTTCTTGTGATTAGTCTGTGTTGGAGACGAAGTACGATGACTGGAAGGGATTGCGCCGAGACTTGTTGAGTCTCCAAATTAATTCATATGGATACGGTACTCTGGGTCGAGACACTTCGTCCAGTCGTGTCATCTGAAAAGCATGGGAAGCATGATAAGCATGATTTGTACAACAGAAAAAAGCCCAACGATTTTATTTCCATGTACACCATGTACTGGCGACCCAAGTTAACGTCATAAATCATCCAGTCTATCCTTATTTTCACTTGATCCATCAGACCATCATCAATATTATTTCGTCGTCATATCATGGTAACACTCGCTTTGACATACAGGAACACTTAACAATGAGACCCTGGTTTTCAATAAGATATGAGCAGCTCCGAGCTTACCATCCTTCTGTCACAACGAAAACAACGTCCGCTTACAAGCCGCACCGAGGTGTCATCAAGCGGTGCCACACTGATCTCTTCTGAAGACAATGTTCAGACTTACCTCCTTAGACGACAGTGCCGAGTCTCAAACAGCACCTAGTTGCCATCCATCCATCACAGACTCACCTCCTCTGAAGACAGGGTCCAGCCACTAGCAGCTCCCAAGTTGTCATCCAGCTGTTCCAGAGATGTGGCTCCAATGATCACTGATGGAACAACATCTTTCTGTAGCAGCCAGCGCAGCGACACCTGAGCCACAGATTTGTCTGAGAACAAAGGTACGTTTCAGGTTGTGTCTAAATACAGTGTTTCATATACTGTCTTCCAGATTTGCCACAATGTCTATCAGGTTTTCTTTGTACCGTCTACCTGGATTTCTACCAGGTTTCACAATGTCTACCAGGTTTCAGACAATGTCTACCAGGGTTTCATTCTATTTATCGGGGCGGTGGGGTAGCCTAGTGGTTATGGCGTTCGCTCGTCACGCCGAAGGCCCGGGTCCGATTCCCTACATGAGCACAATGTGTGACGACCATTTCTGGTGTTCCCAGCCGTGATAATGCTGGAATATTGCTAAAAGCGGCGTAAAACCAAACTCACTCACTCACTACTATTTTATCGGGGTTATCAGGTGTTATGCCCACCACGCGTTTTTGCGATGTCCCGTACAGTATCGATGATGTTCCAGATCTGATCATCCCCTTCTATGGAGCTCCAGTCTGGCGAGGATTCATTTGTCCGTTTGTCATCCCCTCTCGCCCAACCAAGACGCCCACTTGTCGGGGGAGTGTCTCGTGTGTACTTCCCAGAAAGCAGGCCTCTGTGTAAATAATATGTGCAACAACGCATTACCGACAGGACAAAGTGATCACCACTAACACACCTTCATATAGTCTCTGTCTCTGTGAGGATGTATCTGTTGGTCTTCATTTGACGATACATTTACTGTAGAGTACTTCCTGTTTCGTGGGGGGCGGTGGGGTAGCCTAGTGGTTAAGGTGTTCGCTCGTCACGCCGAAAACCCGGGTTCGATTCCCCACATGGGCACAATGTGTTAAGTCCATTTCTGGTGTTCCCCGCCGTGATATTACTGGAGTATTGCTAAAAGTGGCGTAAAAATAAACTCACTCACTCACTCACTCCTGTTTCGTGGTCCTGTCACGCAAAGACACCCACGAGACTACTGGTATACCACTTAATGATACCTAGGTCAACTCATCCCAAGCGACGTATCCACTAAACAACAATTACACGTCTGTAAGATCTCATAGGTACCGTTACACAATCGTGGATTGATACCTTTTAACTTTTGCTGAAGTGTTGAGGAATGTCCCTTGCATCACTACTAAACCATGTATAAATCGCCACTACTGCTCTGTTGAGGGATCTCTACGGACAGATTACTGAAGTGTTGAGGAATGTCCCTAACCTTACTACTTAACCATGCACAGGCCTTCAATACATCACTATTGCACTGTTGAGGGATCTCTAGGACAGATTACTGAAGTGTTGAGGAATGTCCTTGACATCACTACTAAACCATGCACAGGCCTTCAATACACCACTATTGCACTGTTGAGGGATCTCTAGGACAGATTACTGAAGTGTTGAGGAATGTCCTTGACATCACTACTAAACCATGCACAGGCCTTCAATACACCACTATTGTACTGTTGGGGATCTCTAGGACAGATTACTGAAGTGTTGAGGAATGTCCCTAACCTTACTACTTAACCATGCACAGGCCTTCAATACACCACTATTCCACTTTGAGGGATCAGGACAGATGTTGAGGAATGTCCCTAACTTACTACTTAAACCATGCACAGGCCTTCAATACACCACTATTGCATCTCTAACCTTACTACTTAACCATGGGCCTTCAATACACCACTATTGAACTGTTGAGGGATCTCTAGGACAGATTACTGAAGTGTTGAGGAATGTCCTTGACATCACTACTAAACCATGCACATGCCTTCAATACACCACTATTGCACTGTTGAGGGATCTCTAGGACAGATTACTGAAGTGCCCTACCTTACAATTTGATTGATGACTCAATGCACCATTTATACACCCCTACTCACCCCTTGAGAGGGCTCCAAGGCAGCACCCCTAATCCCTCCGTCTTGCACACCTGTAGGGGTTCGAACTCTGTCTCCCTACACACCAGGCTGTACTGTTGCTGAAACAATATACATTGCAATGTCTGCTAGGTCCATCCACAACTTGCAGAACAGAAAACAAAACTCAACTGTACTGCACACATTGAGGTTATGATGTTATACCATTCTTTCACTTCCAGCTATGATGTCCCACCTGTAATCTGAAGAAGGGGGTCACGTTATAATGTCCTAAATGTAAGATAACTATGGATTCATGTGATAATGCCTTATCTGTAGCCTGATAAACTGACCGTCCTATCTGTAACCTGATGAAGGTTTTCATATATATATAAGGGCAAATCCGACCTTGGACGACAGTACTATAAACTGCGACCTTTGGGCGACATTGCCGTATATTACAAACATACATTGATTTATTATTCTGCTTCGGTTATATACACTTCAATTTGATAATTAAACATTAAAATGGGATAAAACCTTGTACATATATACAAATAGAGAATATATTTTTGGTGTCGCCCATACCGTGTCGCCCAAAGGTAAAGTGCACGGCGTACATGTATATATGCGACCTTTAGGCGACTGTCGCCCAAAGGTCGTATATATATGTCGCCCAATGGTCGCTTATGTATTATACATATATATATGGCGCCCAATGGTTGCTATATACGTGTATACATTTCCATGGCTGCTTATTTGATATATGTCGCCCTTTGGTTGTTTATATGTTTCAATGTCTTGCGCGCCGAGGAAATTATATTTCATATCTTAGTGCTTGAAACTGACTTTCTTGTTTCCGATTTTTAACATCGCACAAACAATCAATTCATAGTTTTGTGCTTAATTTTCTCAAATATGATGCAGTCAAACAAACCAGGCTAGTTAGAATTAACACTGAGATTATGATTACTTGTAATATTTATAAAAATATTATGCTGTAACAGACATTTATCGTTTGGCATAACTTGCTATTGTTTCCCACTCAAGCGCCGATGTGCCCTTGCTTTATATTAGTGTCCGTTGTTTACCATTCATGGTTTGCTAAGGATTAAGTTTTAAGGATATGTTAAGATTAACCAACAACTAAATATCAAATATTCCCATACTCAAACACTGAAAACCTCTACAGGAAATCAACACCCTTATGAAGACAGATATGTAGTCTTTCTTTCTGGGGATAAGAAAACGACATCGTATCGCTTCCCGTGAACGAAGACGATTTTGTCTTTCAGTGGCATTTAGAAGTTGTACATTGATGTCCAAGATATTTTTATGGATTAAACTTCTTTTTTAATTTCTTTCACGACGTTTCGAGACCATTCCAGGTCCCTTCATCAGGTGAACTGGCAGTAAGGACTATGACGTCGTCACTATGACGTCATAACTGAGTTATGACGTCACAATGCAAGTGACATCACAGTACACTAGGGAGAGTACTGTATAAGTGAGTTTGAAGAGTTATTTCTATAACATGGTATCAAGCAGCAGCCAACTACAAGCGATACAGATGAAGAACAAGTTTTTAGGTGAGTAGTATCCACTGCTTGTTTACATTGGAGACAACACATTTGCCAGCATATTTACATGAAGTCTCCTTCCTGCCCATAATGTCAATTTAATGGAAATGGTAATTATTGAGATATGAATTTTGTTGAGTTAGAATATACATCAGCTTAAACTACTCAAAAAAATGGTGTATGATATTAAATGTATAAGTAAATCCATCTCAATGAATGTGCTGTCTGCTATGATGTCAATATGACCATCAGAAGCATATCTACATCGAATAAAGGGTAATCCATGATAAAACTTATGATAATAGTTGTTAAATACCAAACAAACAAGATTCACAACAATGTTCATTGAGGAAATTGCAATATAAAGCTTAAATTCAAAGAAAAGTGCAGCAAATTTACAACACCTCCAGCCCCTCTGGTTGGAGCCAAGCTCCTCTGCAGTGTGTTTGACCTATATAAAAAACTGTTTTCTTGATGCCTTATCACACATTCTTAAATACCCAGATGAATTTTTAAATATGATTTTTTTTAAAGTAGTACCTACTTTTTTATCATAATTTCCTATAAAGTTACATGTGAACCATTTTAAACAATTAGTTTTTATATTGATTGATATAATTTCCACAAACATAAAACACTTAAGTGCCCTGATTAAGAAAATGAATCTGAATTTTAATGTTTTTTTTTCAAATAAAATATAATGCAAAAATCCTATTTTGATCATGATATTTTAGATTTATAGTAATGAATGAACATGAAATATTTAAGTGCTTTTGCCTAATAAAATTCAATTGCATGAATATAAGATCTTGCTATTTAATTTGGATTTTTGAACAAATAACTATCTAAAGCATTGACATATGAATAGGTATGAAAATGTTATTATATCTCTACATATATTTTTGGTTATAATAAAACTTAAGTTTAATGTTGTCTTATGATGTTCCAATATACTAGTATTAGCAAAAACTTTGAAATCGAGGAAAAATAAAAATGTTTTATAGGAAATAAATATTACCATCTTTTCTCTATATAAATGCCAGTGTGAATTGTACCACTGTTTCATCATTTGTTTCAGACCACAGTTGGAGAACACTTATTCAAGTGTCAGTTATGTCTGAAAAGACTTGACAATGGCCGTGACATTGTGAAAATTCGTCAGAAGGGAGCCGATGGTATCAACGCTGCTAGTGCTCAGAGAGGTGATGACATTTAATTTAGTGTGGAAGCAGGATGCAAGGTTTAATCAACTTGATAAGTGAGAAACTTAAGGAAGCTGGATGTAAAGTCATTCAGGCACATGGAGATGCAGATGTTGACATCGCAAAGACTGCAGTAAACAGTGCAAAGACCCATTCTACCACACTGATCGGAGAGGACACTGACTTATTGATTCTTCTGCTGCATTACTGTATAGCAGGTGGGAATTCACTCTATTTCAGATCAGACAATTCTTCAAAAGTCAGTCTGAAAGTGTACAACATCAACTGGATGAAGCAACTTCTTGGCAATAAGCTGTGCACCCAACTGTTATTTCTGCACTCATTTACAGGCTGTGATTCCACGTCTCGGATTTATGGCATTGGGAAAAATCAGTGTTCTAGAAACTTGTCAAAGGTGATCAAGCCCTCCAGCTATGTGCAGATACTTTCACTGCAAAAGAGGTCGAACAAGCAAAGATAGAGGAAACCGGTCGCCAGGCCATGGTGATCCTATTTGGTGGAGAGAGAAGATGTTCCTGGCTGCATTGCGTTACAGTGTATTCGCAAAGAAGGTTGTGGCTGCTAAATCTTTTGTTACACCTGAACGCCTTCCCCAACGGAATCAGCCACCAAGTTTCACTGTCTGCGTGCCTATTATCAGGTCATGGTTTGATAGACATGCAAACTAACCTCGATCCATTGCAATGGGGTTGGAAACTTGAAGACAACCACTTTGTTCGCATCATGACATCACTAAATGCTGCTCCAGACAGTCTTATCAAGATCATACATTGTAACTGCACAACTAGTTGCAGTTCCGCACGCGCTGCAGCTGCAGAAAGAATGGACTTCAATGCACGACTGCCTGTGGACTGTGCCAAGTGACATGTTGTGACAATCCAGTCAATGAACCCTCAAAAGAAAGAAGTGGAGGATAGTGATGAGGACAATAATGACAATGATGAGGACAAAGATGAGGACTAAATAGTGTCCTTGGTAAAACCTTGTTATGGAACATTATCCTTAAATTGTTTTTAGATGATATTCTTCTACTTAAAATGTATACCAATGGCAACATTTTCAAATTGCCACAAGTCAAATCCTAAATATTTTGTCACCAGTTGTTTGGTCATCCTTCAAAACCATAGATAACAACAAAAACTATGCTTTGGACTCACTTATTGACAAAAGGTATAGTGATTCTGGTGATTGGAAAGTCCCAACGGCGGCCATCTTGAACGACGTCATAGTCCTAACTGCCAGTTCACCTGATGAAGGGACCTTGAATGGTCTCGAAACGTCGTGAGAGAAATTAAAAAAGAAGTTTAATCCATAAAAATATCTTGGAAGACGATTTTGTCAGTAAAGACTAGAATTTTCAATGAAACATTATTAGACAATTGTAGTTATCTTTTTAGTTCTAATTTGTTTTTTGCTAGGCATTGTATTATCTGTAGGGATTAGGATTAGCGTGTGAATTTGCCTCGTATACACCGTCGGAAATGGCAATCAGCTGTGCACACTTTTCCCCGTGATCTACCGGTGATTTAGTTAAAATTTATCCAATATTACCACGCGATGAATTCTAATGGAGTGATCGAAAAAAATCTAGTATCTGAAATTATTGTGTTTCCATAAGAAATATATTGTTTCGTTTTAATTGTAGGCTTTGCTCTATAAATGTAAAATATCTATAATCATAACTGAGGTTATGCGAGAGCACGCACTATGGTGTTTTGCTGGATAGGCTTTATGCAAGGAACAATTTGACCTGTCACCGATGAGGTTTCGCGCGATCTCGCTTATTCCACCGCGAAAACACTTCGTTGACATGTGATAGTCCAACTGCAAGAAATATTACTTTTAGCGAAAACAAATATGTATACGTATCCATTTCCTGCCAAATACACTTCAATTCGAGGCGTGAGTAGATGTAAAATGATAGTGATTGTTGTGACTAATGCGGACCGACGTTAAAATTTCGGGGAGACACAGGATATAACTGCAGTTGATATAAACATTCTTTTTTACCTTTTGAGTAAAATTAATCAACTGGATTGCAAAGTCCAGATATGAAAAACGTTTTTTAACGAGATAAAGTAACAACATCATTAACTTTCGTCATCAAATATGGATTTGTTGAAACTATTTCTAATGACTGATCACAATGAAAAGATGAGCGAAGGTTGATGGAGTCTGAATACCATCTAACCACAGCCCATTTTGAGCCAGTCGGGAGTATTCCGGTTCTCCTATCATACACCGAGGCATACCAGACGACTCCTGAATAAACTGGGGGCTCCGACACGGATATCTGCCTAATTTCTGGTCTAAATACCATTTAAACACAGCCCATTTTGAGCCAGTCGGGACTATTCTCGTTCTCTTGTCATACACTGAGGCATACCAGACAACTCCTGAATAAACTGGGGCTCTGACACGGATATTTGCCTAATTTCTGGTCTGAATACCATTTAAACACAGCGCATTTCGAGCCAGTCGGGAGTATTCTCGTTCTCTTATCATACACTGAGGCATACCAGACAACTCCTGAATAAACTGGGGCTCCGACACGGGTATTTGCCTGATTTCTGGTCTAAATACCACCAAACCACAGCCCATTTTGAGCCAGTCGGGACTATTCTCGTTCTCTTATCATACACTGAGGCATACCAGACAACTCCTGAATAAACTGGGGCTCCGACACGGATATTTGCCAAATGTCTGGTCTGAATACCATTTAAACACAGCCCATTGTGAGCCAGTCGGGAGTATTCCGGTTCTATCATACAAGGAGGCATACCAGACGACTCCTGAATAAACTGGGGCTCCGACACTGATATTTGCCTGATGTCTGGTCTGAATACCACCTAACCACAGCCCATTTTGAGCCATTCAGGACTATTCCCGTATTCTTATCATACACTGAGGCATACCAGACGACTCCTGAATAAACTGGGGCTCCGACACGGATATGTGCCTGATGTCTGGTCTGAATACCATCTAAATACGGCCCATTTTGAGCCAGTCGGGACTATTCTCGTTCTCTTGTCATACACTGAGGCATACCAGACGACTCCTGAATAAACTG